TTGTTTTTCTTACAATCCTGCGAGTTGTTCTGTCTGATATTTTTCTTGGTCTTCCAGATCTTGCTTTAACTTCCACTGTTCCTGATGACTGCCATTTCTTAATTACATTCCAAACAGAGGATATTGACATCTGAAAACGCTTTGCTATCTTATTATAGCCTTCTCCAGCTTTGTGAGCGTCAACTATTTTCAGTTTCAGTTTTCTAGACAACTGCTTAGAAGAACCCATGGTGCTGATTGTTGGGGCAAGGTCAGATGAGTCTGGGCATTTAAAACCTTTGAGATTGACATAACCTGGTCTTCCCAGACGATGATTGAGAACAATCCATGACACTGGCAGGTCTCAGCTTTGCAAAGGGGGCAGTGCATGCTATAAATTCTGCAGGGTGCCCAAACTTTTGCAGATGCCATTTTTTTGTTTTCTGTTATTTTGAAAGTGTAAATGATGGAAATAAAATCTAACTTTTGTTGATATATTATAAGAATGTCTAATCTGTAATTTGATGCCTTTTGGAGATTTTTCCATCTTTCCTTGGCTTCTTTATGCACATTAATACAAATTTTTAGCTGGGGTGCCCAAACTTTCGATCCCCACTGTGTGTATATATATATATATATATATATATATATATATATATATATATATATATATATATATATATATATATATATATATATATTTATATATATAAATAAATTATTGCTAGGTGTTTTTTTTTTTTTTTTTTTTTACTTGGGAGAGTGCATGTGATCAGCACATCAGCACTGCCCAGACAGAGATCAGGGGTTCTGCATCCTCCTAGAAAAAACTCCTCCTACAAGCTTTAACCAGTGATCAGCTGAACACTGATAGAAGTCACAAGATTGCTTTAACTGCTGATGACAAAGGTATTTAGCAGTTTATTTTTACTAAAATAATTGCATTTCCATGTTCTGTGTACTGTGGTAGATCAGATATAGTAAATGCAGGGTCCTGGGTTTAGTAACACTTTAAGCAATACAGGTTTCTCCATAAATAGTACATGTTAAAAATAAATGTCTGTGGCAGTTTCCTTTGAAGACATTTTAGTCACAAGGAATGTAGCGAAGACAACACAACATGGACTTTGAAAACTGTAGCTGCTTGAATGACGTACAAACAGCTCATATCCAGAGATAACCGGCACATTGAGTTCTAATCGATATTAGTCTTGTCTTGCAACATTTTTATTTGTACTAGCAAAGTGGCACAATATGGGATGTTCAAAGCGGAAGTTTACTTAAGGCAATTCTTAAATAGTTACATGGGTCCTCTCTACATGGAACCCAGATGTTGGTGGCAATCACTGTAGTAGAAGTGCCTATTACAGTGATTTCCGTCTTCCACTGGGATCCCACATACAGTATATGGCACATACACATTGGTTTAAGCTGTAACTCTGTAAAAACTGCCGTACAGAAGTCTTACTTCAATTTTTAACTAGAAAAGCTACAATTTCTGGGGAAATTGTGTGATGTGTTCTTGCCTCCACCAGTAGTCTACAACTGGAGTGGGCGGAGTAACTGGGTGGAGTGGCTTGAGTAACTGTTGTGTGGTTGGAGTGGCTGCAGTAACTGTGAAAAGGTTGGACTGGGCAGAGTAACTTTATGGAGTGGGCAGAGTAACTATGTGGAGTGTTTGGAGTGAGTAAAGATAGTAAACATTACACTAACCAATTGATTGATCAAATTTAAAAAGTGCACATGGCAAGCTTGATAGTGAGAAATGCATTTCAACTTTTATTTTTCAGCTCACACTCTAGCTTTTGTCACTCTGCTGCCTGCTCACACACCTGGGTTCCTATGGCAACTCACTCTACAGCAAGGGCAGAGAAGAGCGGTTAAAAACAAACTGCTCCAACTTGCTCACTTCACTGGCAGTTGCCATCTTCAAACGGTTGTAGTTTAAAAATTATAAATTCTACACCGAAGTGCTTTATATTGTGTGAATCACAAGACCCAGACCTACATTTTGATGTATAGTATGTCTCTGAAATAATAAAAATGAAGGCACAGTCGCAGTTTAGAAATTGCCCTTCAAATTTGAGGTAGCTAGAGTGGAGTTTCAATGAATGTCAATGGGCGGTGTGAGTTGCAAACAAATGGTCATATTGTGAAAACTATCAGGATTATGGCTTAGCCATGACATTTTAGTGGCAGCGGGGATAGCTGAACGTTTTGATATAAGATTTGTGTAGGTGGGCTTGAAAATGAGGGAGTGATGGCAGTTTAGAAATCATGTCCTGATTTTTCAGCTCACACTCTAGCTTTTGTCAGCTCCCACTCTAGTTTTGAACATTCCGCCATTCATTCCTATGGGACCAATTTCACCACAAAAAAGCCGATATTTCATGAACCATTTGGCGAAACGTTCCACAAAGTAATAGTACACCAATCAGGAACAATCCGCACGTTTTGGTATATTACTGTCTAGGTAGAGTAAAAACTGTGGGAGGAGTTAGGGTGGTAAATTTGGCTATAATAATAAGAATATATATGTGAGATAACAGTAAGTGGTCTTGCCATGCAAGAACACTTAATGAGTGTACATGTAGTACTTTATCTCATCTTCCTATGTGTTGTCTTAAGGCTAGCTGTCAACTCATTCTGGGCCCCCCTTCTCCCCTCTTTGTTGTCAAAAACACCACAAGCAAGGAGAAAGCTGCATTGATAGCCGGCAATTTTCTCCATCTCCAAGCACTTGTCCAAGGCAAGCGTTTCCAAATGCAGGGAGAGGAGGGCTTGTCAGCTAACATGTTCCAGGCAAGTGACAGAGCCAGAGAAAAGTTCCACCTCCTTGCTAGCTGCATTGTTTGTTTGTCAGCTTAAGGGACAGGAGGGATGCCCTTACAGCTAGCCTTAGACAGTACATCGGAACTAGGTCATTGACTTAAGTAAAACTAAAGGCCAAACATTTTTTTCATTTTGGATAGAGTAGGGAAGGGTTATAACCCCTTTTAGTTTTTTTTTTTGCCATCTGTGTCCCATTGGGCAGAATTTCCCTTCACTTCCTGCCCCATAGCCAAAACAGGAAATCCCTCCAAAGTGAGGGAATTATTATTATTATTATTATTATTATTATACAGGATATAGCACCAACAGTTTGCTCAGTGCTGCACAATATAACGGGAGACAATACAGCATCAATACAAGAGGGTTAGGATGGTCCTGCTCCTTGGAGCTTACAATCTAAGAGGGAGGGGCTAGTGGTACAAAAGGTAACAACTGTGGATAATGGACAGGTAGGAGGAATAGAAGATTCCATTGTTAGCTGAGGGCAGGATAGGCTTCCCTGAAGAGATAAGTTTTCAGAGATCACCTAAAAGTGAGCAGAGTAGGTGATAGTCTGATAAATTGGGGTAGAGAGTTCCAGAGGATGGGGAAAGCTCTGGAGAAGTCCTGGAGACGAGCATGAGAGGAGGAGACAAGGGAGCTAGAGAGCAAAAGGTCGTGCGAGGAGCAAAGAGTACGGTTTGGGTGATATTTGGAGACAAGATCTTGATGTAATTTGGGGCAGAGTTATAAATGGCTTTATATGTTATTGTTAATGTTTTGAATTTTATTCATTGGGCAATGAGAAGCCAGTGGAGGGACTTGCAGAGAGGGATGGCAGATATGGAACAGTTAGTAAGGTGGATGAGTCTGGCAGCAGCATTCATGATAGACTGAAGAGGGGATAGCCTGCGATGAGGTTGGCCAATGATGAGGAGGGAGTTACTGGTTGGACGATTCCCCCTATGTTCCTGTTCTGGTAACAATCCAACATTTGGGATTTTCTTTCACATTCACTCTTGGCGATACAGGACAAAAAGAGAGGATTTATCTCCCTATCTAGCACACACACAGCAACAAAAACCTGACAGGTGTTCTAATCCACCCCCACTTTATCCCAAAAAAATTGCCGTTAATTATACCTAAAAGTATATTTAAAGACAAAACCTTTTTTGGATCGCGTGGGGAAGGGTTAGGCCCTCTGGCAGGTATTTATTGTCTGTCTGCTGTCTCAATTTTATCTTGCTGGTCACCAAGTCATTGAGGGGAGATTCAAAATGTTATCACCAGAGGAAGAGGCAAGGGTTAATTTTCTGTTCTGGAGACAACGTTCTTACATGAGAATTGGGGAGATTTTCTCCCATTGCCTACTGCGTTGCCAGGACTGGAAGTGAAAAGTTGTGGGCAACACCAAATCGTTTTAATAGGTGTCTAAACCCCCCTAACCCCAAAGGCTTTTATTTTTTTAGATTATAACACAAATCTGGACATTGACAGACCTGGTGGTAACTGCCTAATGTTGCTTGTCATTTTTTATACTTTTTGTTTAGTTTGGGGGATTTACTGGTATTGTCCCTGTTCAGGAGTTTTGCTGTCCCCTTCAGCTGTAAAGTACAATGGCCACTAATAAACATATTATAAGTCAACTGGAGAAATCTCTCCAATGCTGGACCGGTTGTGGGGTTTTCCGGTACTAGTTCATCTTTATATTTTTTCTGTAAAGGTGAACCAACCCTTTAAGTGTATTTAGCCAAGTAAGGCCTTTTTCACATGGATATAGTAATTTACTGATGTTTGTATGCAGGATCTTGATGGCAGAGGCTGGCAGAATGGTCCTGAATAAAACAAAACTCCAGTTATGTTCTGTAAAGACCTGAGGTATACCCGCATACAGGCATGAAAACGTGTCTGTGTGCACCCGATTAAAGTTCTTCATCCTCTTCTACCTGCCAGTCTTTCAGTTTGTGTATAGGCTCATATGTACTTGCATATACAACAATGCTCTGTTTTCAGATCCATAAACAAAAAAAAAAAAGGCTACACAGCCCATCCGTGTGCAAGAACACAGCTATATATATCATTAGTTTGATGTTTTACATAAAAATGTCCTGTTCTTTGTAAATGATGTTGTAAATCACAATGTAATTCCACTCTTTATTATGTATGCCACTTTAGAATTGTAATATTTCCAACTTGTCTTCCTGTTAACAGGACAACCTGGTTACCCACCAAACCCAGCATATCCTCCTGGCACCAATCCTGCATACCCTCCTGGTACAGTGCCTCCTGTCTACCCACCAGGTCAGCCTGTCTACCCACCAGGTCAGCCTGTCTACCCCCCTGGGCAGCCTGTCTATCCTCCAGGACATGTACCACATCCTGGCCATCAGCCTGGCTATCCTCCACATGTTGGACCTTGCCCACCGGGAATGCCAGGGTACCCAGTAAACCCCATGATGCCTGGATACCCCATGGATAAGAAAATGAGGAAAAAAATGAAGAAGGCAAACAAGCATGCACATAAGCATGCATATGGAAGGGTAAGTGTGATCACATGTGGGCAGAGTGCATGATGGGTACTTCAAATCCTAGATACATTTTGCCCTATGACTTAATTTACTGTTCTGTCCCCACATGAAGGCGAATGAAGGTATAACTGACAATAGCTGTGTAACTTCCTACCTTCGTATCCAAGCAGTGGAGCAGACCGGACCGGCAGATGCTTAGGTTAGACGGATCCAAACGTATACACGGGAATGAAATCAGCGTGGGTTTATTTGCTCCAAATACAGCGACAAACAGTGATACAATACTGTAATGTAGTAGAGGTATTGATGCTGTCCTGTGATATCTTTCCTGAGGCTAACTGCTGGTCAAAAACTGATGCCTTCACAAGCCCAGGGTATTGAATGTCCTGTCACACAGCTATATAGCAGATAAAATGGCTGCAGGAAGTGACCAGAACCAAGGCTTGCCTAAAACCACGCCCAGCAGAGGAAAAAACTTACTAGCTATAACAGAGGCATGCAGCATGCAAATTCTGGCCAGCAGATGGCAGCAACAGATCAAGACATAGAAACAAACATGGTGAAATAAGAATTGGTGATACAATGCACAGTTAAATAACAAATATGAGGGGAACAGCACATTTACAAGGCTTTGTTATTCTCGGTATATGTTTTTTAATATAATTTCCTGTAGGGGTAAAGCGAACTGTTAGTTACAGTTGCTTGTAGATTTGCTTCTGAAGCTGGCCACACACCTTACATTCTGATCATACAATCTTCTTGATATGGAACTCCAAGAAAAAAAACTAATTTTTATTTATTTTGAGGGATCCAGAGAAGCTATATATAATCATTTGCCAAACACATCTGGAGGGTGACTGGGCGTACTAAAAATGTTTATTTTTTTTCTTCATTGCTCACGTTAGCACTGTTATTTTGTTCTTACTTTAGGAGCTTTCTACGCTCCACCTGAGAGGTCTTGTTATATACAGCAGGAAGCTGCATGGGTGAGAGGAGATCCCATGTTTTACATGCCCCTCCTCTCCATGCAGCCTTTCATGGAAAGCCTTGTATTCAGTAAATAGAATACAAGGCTTTTTGTGAATGGCTGAGGGGAGAGGAAGAGGAGTGCAAGCATCATTATCCTCACTGCTCACAGCTCATGGTCAATTTCCAGTATAGTAAAAACAAAATGTAGCTGTGCCTGCGTTGGACTTTCAGCACATTTGAAATTATTGGAGGAGGATGTATTACTGTAAGCCCCGTGGAAAATAATTGAAATACATGGTTGTGTGCTAATTTATTTTGTTTTACCTGCTAAAACAATGAAATATGTTCAGTCAGAATTGTAATTTATATACTGTTAACACACTGCATAGCTGTAACCAAATGTCACCAAAATGTAATGTTCTTGTCTCTTTTTTCGAGAGTGTCCTATTCCTGCATCTAAACACTGGACTATGAAAACACATCATGCCAATGGAGATTACCATAATTATTCTGTAGATAGGCAGGCAGTCCTTAAAGCTGCAAAGCTTAAAAGATAAGTTCACTTTTTGCCAAAAAATAATAAATGCACATTATTTTTGCAGATTAAAAGTGTGCATTTATTATTTTTTGTTGCAGGAACCTGTAAACCATTGCACCAGTGATCAGCAGATCTCTGGTGCTATGCAGGTCCCCTGCAGACCTGTCAGTATATCTGCTTGCCCATACCAGCAAGCAGATATACTGACAGGATGAATCCAATAAACATGTTGACACTCGCTTGTAGTTTCTCATTCACAGAGGATTATGAATGCTTCTGCTTGCTCGGCCGCAGTTTTTTAAAAATTTGACAGCTGGCAGGGAAAGAAGATCCCCTGTTAGCTGTCAAAATGAGAGGAGCGGGAGTCAATTATTCATAACATGCTACATGTTACACCCTGATCATGGATGTAACATTTTATGAAAGGTGTGCATCGTAAGACTGGACAAGCAGAATTACAGATTTTTTTTTTTTTTTTTTGGCAAGTTGTTAGGCTCCAAAGCCATCTTCACATTTCTGCCATGGGGCTATGAATAAAGTTTTTATTATTTATGACACAAAGTGTTTATTTTTGGGGGAAAAAACAGGGCTTTGGTGGTATTATCCCCAAAGTTTTTTTAAGATGTATAAATAGTTTTAAATAGGAAAAAATATATGCTTGCTGCCTGGTCAAGCAGCGATTTTTTTTTTTTTTTTTTTTTTTTTTTTTTTTTTTTTAAAGATTTAGAAAAAGCAAAAAAAAAAAATGGCCAAGAAGAGCAGCAGGTGGAAAGCAATAATTAGGTCTAGTTATGGATAACAGGGAATTAATTGGGTGTTAAAAAAAACAATTTGGTTTACAACGAGCACTGCAGAAATAGCCGCTTACAGGGTCTACCACACATACACATGCTGGTTGTGAACTGAGAGAGTATTCTGGTGTTTTTACCTGCAGTGGTGTATCCATTGCAGTAAGACTGTAGGATATACTGTATGGTAAAGTTTCTTGATTATTTGTTTCCTCATCAATTATCTATTTCTATCATCAATATTAAGTGTATAGTATTTTCAGTGTAATTTCTTTGCATGCAGGAGTTCAGCTTGATATACGTGTTTGATGTTTTAAAAATTACATATATGTGTGTTGTGTGTGTGTATATGTGTGCAGCATTAATGAGTGCACTTGCTTTGAAAAGTAGGATTTTAATCAATATCTCAATGAACACAAGAACAGTTTCCAAAGTTCTGACAAAACTGAGTTTTATAGAACATTTGTTTAGCTCATTATATGAAAGTAAGGTTAATAATATAACTTGGATTACAAAATCTTCAATTTTAATCAAATTAGTTGATGCAAAAATGAATACACCCCACAACAAAAACTACTACATCTAGTATTTTGTATGACCTCCATGATTTGTAAGGACAGCACCAATTCTTCTAGGCATGGAATGAACAAGTTGGCAACATCTATCTTTTTCCATTCTTCAAGAATGACCTCTTTTAGAGCCTGGATGCTGGAAGATGAGTGATGCTCAACTTGTCTCTTCAGAATTCCCCAGAGGTGTTTAATGGGTTCAGATCAGGAGACATACATGGCCACTGAATCACACTGACCTTGTTCAGAAATGCAACAGTGGCTTTAGATGTGTGTTTTTGGATCATTGTCATGTTGGAGAAGTGCGTGCCGACCAAGGGCATGAAGTGATGGTAACATCTTCTCTTTAAATATAGAGCAGTACATCTGTGAATTCATGATACCATCAATGAAATGCAGCTCCCCGACACCAGCAGCACTCATGCAGCCCCACAGGACACTGCCACCACCATGTTTCACTGTTGGCACCATGCATTTTTCTTTGTACTCCTCACCTTTGCGACACCATACAGTTTTGTAGCCATCAGTTCCAAAAACATTTATCTTGGTCTCATCACTCCAGAGTACAGAAGAGTCCCAGTAATCTTCTTCTTTTTCAGCATGGGCCCTGGCAAATTCTAGGCAGGCTTTTTTGTGCATGGGCTTTAGGAGAGGCTTCCTTCGTGGACGACACACATGCATGATATTCCTCTGCAGTGTAAGCGTATTGTGTCACGTGGATGGCCTGAACTCTGTGAGATGGTTGCAGTTCCATCTTTGTTACATTTTTATATCACTTTTGCTACAGTATTCTGACAGATTAGTAAAGCTTTACTGATCTTCTTGTAGCCTTTCTTGTGTAAAGAAGATATTTTCTTTTTCAGGCTTTGTGGACACCTGCTTAATGAGTAATTAGACTCACCTGTAGTTGAATTCTTGTTAATTAGGATTTCATTGTCTAAAATGTAGCTTTGTTCCTAAGACTTTCCTTGGGGTGTATTCATTTTTGCAACATGGTCTTGAATTAATTTGTTAGAAAAAATACTTTTTTGTGTGTGCAAATTAACAATTCTTGTTTTCAATTAATGGCCCGCATTTGTGGGAGTATTTTGTAGCCTTTGTAGTATGAAAAGATAGTAGTTGCAATTTTTTATTTTGCACGATATTTGCGCAACTGTTTATCAAATGCATATTTTTCTGGAAAAATTATAATAAAATGTATTTTTTAATGCACACAAACACAATAGAATACCCCATTTTTTTTGTAAAATATAAAAGATGGGACTTCATTGAGTAAATAAACTTTCCAAGTCTTAAAATTGCATGTACCTGTGATATATTGGAAAAACAGTGGTACCAAAAAATCTTTATAGGCAGTGCTTTAAAAGCCTTTACAGCTCACCAGTTTAGAGTTAACTGTGAGCTATGGTGCTAAAATTACTTCTCTCACTCCAATGTTACTGGTAATGGTGACACCTTGTGTGTGTGGTGTGACTGTGGTTTATATACACGTATGTACTGTGGGTGTATTTGCATTTGTGGGTGTTTGCAGGGCAATGGGTGTTACTTTAAATTTTTGGGGGGAGTTTTACTAGATGCTGTTATAATTTTATTTCAAACTTTTTTTTTTTTAATTTAAAGTGGAACATTAGGCAGAAAATAAAGTCCTGCTTGTTCACTTTAGACTGGCCCCTTTTGCAGGTATAGCTATGTAAAACCTTTACAATAAGTGCCTATACTGTTTAAAATCCAATAATACACTGTCTCACCCAACTCTGCACATGTACAGTTGCTTTCTCTTTTTTCAGCTCTGTGCCGAAAATATAGATGTCGGTCTGCGGATAGCCCAAAGATTTACTGCCACTCAGGGGCTCTGGGCTTCAGCAAAATGGCAGCCTCCAGCAAGAAGAAACAGGGATAGGAGGCAATTTATAGTACACACTCATTTTTATAGCATAATTATTAATGTGGAATGTACTGTATGTTCCATGCTAAAAAAACATTTTTTTAGCTAGTTGTTATGGGTAAAGTTCCACTTTAACTTTATTACTCTCACAAGTGGTTAACATATTGGGGGGTCTGTCAAAAAACAACAAACAAAAAATCCCAGCTCACTTACTAGCCAGCCTGCAACAAACCAAATTGACCCTGTCTAACAGTTCATGTTAAAACATAGCTGTATAGTTTGCTCACATTTTCAAACATATGCCCAAGGTGCAGCGGCAGCAGCATGGCACCCCAATGTACTGCAGTCCTAACTCTATAATTTTTAGAGTCTCCTGAGTTGCAGCACATTTATAATAATAGATTACGGGCAGGTATGTGTGGAGGAAGCTCACCCCTTCTTAAATGTACAGGGACACACTGGACACCCAGCAATAGCAGTGAAGGTATCCAGTGCATTCCATTACCAATTCACCAACAGTACAAAGAAATGGCAACCGCCCCAACTTATAACTGGCCCTTGCAGCAAGGAGCAAATGGAAGGGCGACATGTCAAAAAGCAACAAACAAAAATTCCCAGCCCAGGGTCGTAATGCTGCACAATAAACACCTGTAGCAAAAAGGCAGCCTTGGTCCACTTGCTGGCTTGTTGGGCAATTTGTGGCAAACTTTAGGTATTTTGCTGAGGCACCACTGAGAAACCCAGAAGGCACCCTGGTTGAAAAAGGCTGCCATAGATGTTCAGTAGGATTCAGATCCGGGTTCATAGAAGGCCACTTCAGAATAGTTCATTGTATTGTTCTTATCCATTTTTGGGTGCTTTTAGCTGTGTGTTTTGGGTCATTTTCTTGTTACAGGACCCATGGCCTGTGAGACAGAATGTTCTGACATCGGGCAGTACATTTCACTGCAGGCATCTTTCAGAGTCTTGAGATGTTATTCAAGCTTAATTTAAAGCTCAAATTGTTTTTTCTCATCTGTTCAAAAGACATTCTCTTAGAAGCACTGAAGCTTATCGATATGCTTTTTCGCCAACACAAGTCTGGCTTTTTATATTTTTTTAGAAGAGTGGAGTTCTCTTGAATCTTCTTCCTTTTTAGCCCATTGTCATTCGTCATTCATAAAACCATGGTGAGACCAGACACTGGTGTATCTTGACCTTAAAGTGGTTCTAAAGCTAAAAGTTTTTTTTCTTACCATAAAGCATTCCCTGCATTAAGGTAAAAATTGTATTGCCAATTGCTATGCTTATACCCCCCCAAACAGTTACTTGTATCGATCCAACACTGTGCCCATCTGCAGTTTTTTCTCCTCTCTCTTTTCTCACAAATCCTGTGAGCAGAGAGCAAGGGGGTGGGGCCTAGCCACGCTGTGTGTGCCTATGGACATACACAGCCCAGCTCAGAAGCGAGCCCACATGTCTGCCCCATAGCAAGCGGCTCACTATGGGGGCAGACACAGAAGAGAAGGAGCTGAGATTGGGGGACCGCAGAAGAGGAGATTCAGGATCACTCTTTAGAAATGCTTTCATGTTCAGCATGTATCTCTTTGGGAGCTTTCCTTTTGCTTATTTTCTACCATTTACACTATCTTTCTGTTCAGTCTGGGGTAACTTTTCTTCTTGCAGTTATGTCCAGGGTGGTTGACTAACTTCATGCTTGGAGATGGTTTTATGGCCTTTGCCTTTTGACATGCTGGTCTGGGGAGTTGTCTCCCCAGACAGCTCGCTTCTTCATTGCTTTGGTCCATGTGCAGTGGTGCACATGATGATACCAAACAGCCGAGTGATACATACTATTCTGCATTTAAAGTGGAACTTTGCCCATAACAACTTGATAAATAATGTGTTCTTTGACAAGAAACCTGATTTCCACATTAATTGTGCTACCAAAATGAGTGTGTACTGTAAGTTTATCTAGCATTGTTCCTGTTTCTTCTTGCTGGAGGCTGCCATTTTGCTGAAGCCCCGAGCCCCTGAGTAGCAGTAAATCTTTTAGCCTCTACTAATTCATCACAGTGCCAAAATATAGACAGCAACTGAGCATGTGCAGGGCAGAGTGAGACGGTGTTGTACTGGATTGTAAACAATAGGGGCACTTATTTTTAATGTTTTACATAGCTATACCTGCAAAAGTTGCCAGCCTGAAGTGATCTAGCAGGACTTAATTTTTTTTTTACTAAAATTCTACTTTAAATAATATGATTAATTTATTACAAGACTTAGACATTGCAGATTCATTCTAGAAAACAGTTTGAAACATCACTATCATCAAATGATTTATAATCTTTTCAAGAGGTACAAAATCTCTGCTCGTACCAATATCTTTCTAGAAAAAGCAGTCATGTATCTTTTTTCACACTTTTGTTGCTTTATTATGACTTACCAAAGACATGCAGATATGCATAAGATAATTGGTTTTAATTGTATCACTTTTCAGGAGGAATGAAACATTGTTTCAATCAGTTGTAAGGTTACCAAATAATTTGTCTGTTTGTATATTAAAACAATAGCACAAACATGTTATGCTCACATTTTTACACCCAGAAGATAATCTTTTTAGGCAAATGCTGTATCAATAATTTTTACCCCCAACATTAGCTATAATTTACCTTTAATTAAATTCTTAGTTTTTGTTGCATACAGTTTGTTGTTTGAACAGAAGGGGTTCTAATATGAAATTGAGGGAATTGGGACAGTTGAGGGCCTATTTATAAATTGAAAATGTGAGAAACCTGGGTAAATGATGTGTGAATCTTATGTGAAAACATTTGTAAATAGACCCATTGGCATAACCGTTATTTTAGAAGAGCAGATGAAAGAGGGATTTTTTGAAAGCTGGATATTCTGGGTTTGATTTATTAAAGGCAAATAGGCTGTTTACTTTGTAATGGAATTTGACCTAGAGCTTAGTGAATTAGGTGAAGTTTCCTTTGCAAATAATCCCATATTATGTGCAAGGATAATGAAAAACAAAATACAGCTTTTTGATTGCACATGATTGCATGGAACTCAGCAGAGCTATACCTCATTCACTAAGCTCTGGGGAAATTCCCTTGCAAAGTGCAATTATCCTTGCATAGTGAATCGTCTATTTGCCTAAGGTGTGTCTGTCTGAGGTCCCTCTGTCAGCATTAGGCAACCTTGGCACTTACAAATCACATTATGCCCCTGCCCTTGGGAATCATGCCTGTGACTGTTAAGAGTTGCATTGTGTGTCATGGGATATGTAGTTTCACTACAGCCGACATACCGATGTTGTTAACCCCTTCTCTATGTAATCACATTGAGGGTTCCAACCTCCTGCAGTTCCTTGATTCACAATTTACTGTATGTTTCAAGCAACACCTGCTGGTGAAATCTGGTATTGTGATAAAACCATAAGATCCAACGGTTGAACCAAAAAAGAACCAACCAGTAGGACTTTTGAGTTACCACAACAATACTAATTTTTAAGATATTAAAATTTTATTCAGTACAAAAAATATATGTAGAATAAAATGCTGCACTATACATACAGATCATGCAACATAAGATTGAAGACCTCCAGACTGGGCCCATCAACATCTACACTGTAATAAAGATGATTTAGAACATCGGTGTCAAACTGCGACCCTCCAGCTGTTGAGGAACTACAATTCCTATCATGCCTGTGGCTTTGGGAGTCATGCTTGTGACTATCAGCCTTGCAATGCCTCATTGGATTTATAGTCCCTCAACAGCTGGAGGGCCGCAGTTTGACACCCCTGATTTAGAACATCTAGATACTTAGTATAATTACAGATATCTGCAAACCTATATTGGGCCCCAACATAGGTAGGAACTTGTTCTGTAGAAGTCTTCAATGTATAAATTATTAAAGTGATGCTTATGAACCTCTTAAACAAGACTGTATGTATAGTTTGTACATAAGCTTTTACTAACTTTCCTTCCCCTTTTTTTTCAGAGATCCTCATCCTCTTCCTCCAGCAGTGACTAGAATACAGAAATCTTGCTTATTGGAGAAGCCGTGGGATAACACCCTAAGTAGTAGCATGCACAGTTTATGTATTGTAAGCTGAATCGTTTACAATACATACCCTTTATCTGTTGCCATCACAGATGAATCTAATCATTCCTGCAGCATTCTAAGGCAGTTATACTGCAAGAACAACACTATGCATTCCTGCTTTCTGTATATTATTACTGTGATGTGAAAACAATTTAATTCCTTAACCTGCTTCCAATAAAAGAAGTTTTAATTTTCTCTGCAGTGAGTCTTCTGTAAACAAATACAAACCTCTTTCATTTGATCCTAGCCAACTTTCCTGGTAGTGCCTAACTCCAGCCAAATGTATTTTACTTGGGATAGAAGAGGAAGAGAATTTTGGGGGTGCAGAGACCGCAATAAAAACATTACCTGAAGTCCTAACTCTTCTCCCCTCCTACTAAAAATGTTGTTTGTCTGTTTACCCTTTGGAGAGATTTCCTGAAACTTCCTGCCTTTCACAGGAAGTTGGGGGAAATCTTTCAAACAGGAACACATATGACATAGGTAAACTGGACATATAAAGAATGGATCAGAGAACCTAAGATGAGTCCTAAGGGGTGAACAACCAGATGTTTATGCATCTGATTGACCATTTGAAAGTCATAGTTCCATAGAGGTTGATTTGCTAAATCTGGTGCAGTGTTACATAGAAACCAACCTTGATTTTTTTTTTTTTTTTTGTCAAAGCTTAATTGAACAAATGAAGTTGGAAGCTGGTTGGCTACCGTGCACAGCTGCACCAGATTTTGCACTCTCCAGTTTTAGTAAATCCACCCCATTTTAGTAAGCTTGAAAGGGACGTTAGTTCATCTAGTTCAACCAATAAAAAAAAAAATACACACAAATAAAAAAAACTCCATATACACAATCCTAAATCCACAGTTGATCCAGAGGAAGGCAAAAAACTCCCCAATAAAGCATGATCCATTTCTCTCCAGTGGGGGACAAAAGTTCCATCCTGATACCTTGTGAGGCAACTGTATATTCCCTGGATGAACTACGTCTGTCGCTTATTACCTCTAAATATTAGTATCCAATTATATTTTGTGCATTTAGGAATGCATCCTGCTTTTTTTAAAAACAATCCACTGAGCTGACCAGAACCAGTTCTTGAGAGAGACAATTCCACATTTCCACAGCCTTACTGTGAAGACGTTTTTTCTGTATGTGAAGGTTAAATCTCTTTTCCAAACATGAGGAGTGCCCCTTTGTCCTCCTGTAATAACCTGAAAGTGAATAACTTAACACCATGTTCAAATTATGTACCACTTATGTATTTATACATGTTTATCATATCCCCTCTTAATCTCCTCTTCTCAAGAGAGTATATTTAGCTCAGCTAATCTTTCCTCATAGCTGAACTCCTTCTTGCCTCTTATCAGTTTGGTTGCACTTTTCTTCACTTTCCCCAGCTCGATTTATACCCTTTTTTGAACTGGTACCCAAAATTGAACTGCATATTCCAAATTAGGTATTGTTAATGATTTGTACAGGGGCACAATTATGTCTATCTATTTCTGTTGTTAAGCCTATGATCTACCAAAAGACCCAGATCCTTCTCCACCATTGACTCCCCCCAGGTGTACTCCCCCTAGTATGTATGATAAAATGCATGTTTTAACCCCCAAGCGCATAACTTTACATTTATCAACATTGAAACCTCATTTGCAACATAGTTGCCCAATTAAGTAGTACATTGAGGTCAATTGCTTGGAGACATCCTGTAAGGACACAATTCCACTGCATAGCTTGGTGTCATCTGCAAACACTGAAATGGTTCTATTAATCCCAAATGCTATATCATTTAGAAATGTTAAAAAGTAAGGGTCCCAAGGCTGAACCTTGGGGTATACCACTAATAACCTTAGACCTTTCACAGTATGAATCCTTAATCACTACTCTCTGAATACAACCTTTTCGCCAGTTTTCTATCCATTTACAAACTTAATTTTTTTAAAGCCTGCAGACTTTAATTTACAGATTAGCTGTGTGTGGTAAAACCACAAATTCCTCGGCACTTTAAAGCATTCAAAAGAGCAGTGTTGCTAAATGCTTTCAGATTTTTACATATGGCGCCAAAAAATTTTAGTAAACCAGAAGTGGTCAGGTCATCACTTCTGGTTTACAATAAAGGAGAGTCGGGCAAAGCTGATTTCGGCTGTCCAGCCAGCCGGCGAACATGCTGGCTGGTCGCTTGGGACTCCCGGTGGGACGGGAGGTCCCAACAGAGCAGTAGGAAGTGGCAGGAGGGGGTAGGGCGTCCCCTGCCGCTACGGACATCGCTCTGGTACAACCACAAGTCCAGTCACATACGGGTATATCATTGCTCCGGAAGTGGAGATTGCTCTTTTTCCACTGTTAATTGTGATGTCAAATTTCAATTTAGTTTTAGTCATAGTCTTTTGACTAAAATGCCATCTTCATTTTAGTCACATTTTATCCATCTGAATTGAAACTGAATTTTATTTTCATTTAATTTTCGTCACTCTGTTATATTCTTTGTAACTTTTAAATGATGATAGTGAAACTTCCTGTTTATATTTTTTTAAAAGCGCTTTTCATATTATTTAGCATCTACTAATATAAGCTATTTTAACTTGAAAACCTATGCGGCTCATGTTCATTTTTAACCTTCCAGACCTTTTCCCCTTGGGAATATATTTTGCAGTGTATTTGCATATAGTTGATTTGAAGCATTCCCATTTATGTGTTGTGTTTTTAATGACAACATTCCCTCCCAGTCTAAATCTTGGAGAGCAGCCCTCGGCCTTGGAAATTTTGCTCTCTTAAAATGTAATTGTTTTTATAGGAGGAGATGCTTCTGTGCTCCTTCTTTTTTTTTTTTTTTTTTTTTTTTTCTGCACGTGTATGATAGAGATAAAGGGTATAAAATGACTACTCATGGACAAAAATGTCTGTGAACAGATTTATTTTCCTTTTTCTTTTTGATGAACATGACTGAAAGATTAAAAAAAAAACAAACCTCCATTTTGGGTAATTTGTTCACTGAAAAAATTGTGAACTTTTTTTTTTTTTAATACATCATTTATGCTCTTAGTGCTTGCTTATACTAGACACCTATCATCCCTATTACACTAAACGATTAGACTAACAATGGGTATGAGGAAGGAGCAATGGTAATTGACACATATATACAGCCTCCCCTGTGCTGGATGATGTATTTATGGAGACAGGGGTATAACTTAAGTTCATGCGACTGCCCTCCCTGCCTGAGAAAACGTATTTAGCAGTTTATTTAATAATTTAATAAAATAATTGCATTTCCATGTACTGTGGGAGACCAGATGTAGTGAATGCAGGGACCTGGGTTAAGTAACACTTTAATGCAGCGGATGGTAGACACATCATGCTTGCTTCCCTTCAACATAGGAAGATGTCCAGCAGATCCTTCAGCATGGAACTGGCGGAAACCAGTGGGACCCAGGTACACCCAGCTACTGTCCGGAGATGTCTGTCAAGAAGTGGTCTTCATGGAATAATTGCAGCCAAAAAGCCATAACTCTGACATGGAAACCAGACTAAGCGACTTGGTTATGCACGAAAACATAGGAACTGGGGTGCAGACAAATGGCAGCAGGTGCTCTAGACTGTTGAGTCAAAATTTGAAATATTTGGCTGTAGCAGGAGGCAATTTGTTTGCTGAAGGGCTGGTGAGTGGTACAATAATCAGTGTCAACAGTGAAGCATGGTGGAGGTTTCTTGCAAGTTTGGGGCTGCATTGCTGCAAGTGGAGTCAGAGATTTGGTCAGGGTCAATGGTGTCCCCAATGCTGAGAAATACAGGCTGATACTTCTCCATCTTGCCATAACATCAGGGATGCATGTGATTGGCCTCAGATTTATTCTGCAGTTGAATGATGACCCCAAACATATAGCCAATGTCATTAACAACTACCTTCAGCATAAAGAAGAAAAATGAGTCCTGGAAGTGATGCTTTGGCCTCCACAGAGCCCTGATCTCAGCATCAAGTCCATCTGGGATTACATAAAGTGACTGAAGGATTTGAGGCAGCCCACATCCACAGAATATCTGTGGTTAATTCTCCACGATGATTGGAACAACCTACCTACCGAGTTCCTTCTAAAATTGTGTGCAAGTGTATCCAGAACTGATGCTGTTTTTCAGGCAAAGAGTGGTCACACCAAATATTGGATTGATTTGAATTTCTCTTCCGTTCATTTACTTTCCATGTTGTTAATTGATAAAAAAATAAACTATTAACACTTACAGTTGTGAAAGTATTCCTAATTTACAACTCCCCACTATACAGCATTATAAGGGCTCTCTTGTCTTTTCTCGTTTTTTTTTCAGTGGACACCCTGAATTATTCTGTGAACCCTCTTTTTGCCCTATTGGCTCTTTCTTAAGGACTATCAACACACCAATACAACTATTTTCTGTATTTGTTGCCTCAACAACCTCCCTAGTGGGCCCCTTGCCACCCCGAGGCCTTATAGCAGCCGTGGGGGCTGCTATGCCTATAGTCATCCCACTATAGGGAGCCACAGAATCCAGTCATAGGTCAGGCATGTTTCAAAAAGATTTGGGACCTCAAAGATATTATTGAGGCCTTTTCAAAGCAGACATTGGGGTAGGAGTGAAGTACTGTTACAGTCAGGTGACTGGTTCCACTGGAAGAAAAATGGAATTGGTCATTGAAAGCATATTAATTTTTAAATCAGATTTCTTCTTTGTGTTTCTTGATCTAGAAAAGCCATAACTTTATTTTCAACCATTTGTCTAATTTGCATAACATTATCCTTGTGAGATTACACTTCATAATGAGATGTTCTCACCCAGATTGTGAAAGTGAATGCCATTTTTATACTGTGCCTCTGGGCTGTAGGACATTATTAGTTCATTTTGAAGAAAAAAGGTCTTTCAGTTAACAAGTATACAGGAAGCTGGTTCTTCAATGTGTTATTTTA